ACGTAGTTGAGCCACAGCACCACTTCCAGCTTTTTCTATTCATGTGGTGCTGAGGAATTGAACCCAGGGCTTCATGCATGCTAGACAAGCACTCTACTGCTAAGCTACATTCCTAGCCCACAAAAAATAAAAATAAAAAAAAAATAAAAAAATATGACTGTAAAAATGAGTGTATCCCAATGGCAGCCTACAAGGTGGCCCACTCAGGAGGGTGAAGTTCAAGGATTCCTTGAAACCAAAGAATAGAGACCAACCAGACCCTATATCAGAGAGAGAAGAGAAGAGAGAGAAGGCAGGGAGATTATATCTGAAGCCAGTGCCTGGGTTTGTATCCCAATCCCACCTACCTCTCTGTGCCTCAGCGTTCTCATTTGCACAAAGGACAGTTGCAGGCTGCCTCACTGGGTTATGGTGGAGTCAAGGAGCTCATGCATGTTAGAGAACATTCAAAATACTTAGAACCGTACTTTTCATAAAGTACTCTTCACACTGGAGTCATGGCTCAATTGGTAGAACATTTGCCTAGAAAGTAAAGAGCCCTGAGTTCAAACTCTATTACTATAATCAATCAACCAAATGAAGTGTTCTTTTTTTTTTTTTTGTCGTTTGTGGGGCCTGAACTCTTGAGTCTGGGTGCTGTCCCTCAGCTCTTCAGCTCAAGGCTAGTGCTCTACCATTTCAGCCACAGTGCCACTTCTGGCTTTTTTTTTTTTGCTTATGTGGTGCTGAGGAATTGAACCCAGGGCCTCATGCATGCAAGGCAAGCACTCTTCCATGAAGCTACCTTCCCAGCCCACATTTGCCCATTTTTATGAGTCAACATGGCAATTGTCAAGTAGACATGTCTGTGACTTGGTGAAGATTTGCTGAAGCTACTCTACTCCCAGATGTCTTACCCAATGTGACTTCCTTGAGACCCATGTGAACTGGGCAGCCTAATACCAACTGGTTCTTTTCACTCCACTTTCTTCAGTAAGCTCTGCAGGTGGGAAAAATCACCAGATCCTGGACTGAGTGATTTCTCATTCCAACTCTACCACTATGGGACTTTGGGTCAATAGTCTTTTTCCTTGTATCCATTGCAGTTCTGCTGCTCCCTGAACTGCCCCGTCTGGCACAACATCCTCTACTACTGATCCAAAACCAACCTACTTTCTTTTTTATTTTTATTTTTTGTTGGTCATGGGGCTTGAACTCTGGGCCTGGGCGCTGTCCCTCAGCTTTTCAGCTCAAGGCTAGTGCTCTACCACTTGAGCCACAGCACCACTTCCTGTTTTCTGGTGGTTAATTTGAGATAAGTCTCATGGACTTTCCTGCCCAGGCTGGCTTTGAACCATGATCCTCAGATCTCAGCCTCCTGAGTAGCTAGGCTTACAGGCATGAGCCACCAGCACCTGGCCTAAAATCAACCTACTTTCTAAGGCACACTTCAAATGTTATCTCTTCTACAGATGCAAAGCATCTTTGATTATTGCTCTTTCACAGCTACAAAATAATTGCTAGCATACTAAGTTTATGCAACTGATGATAGATTTACCTTAACTTTACAGCATGAACACATCAATCCACTGCTTCCTTTTGTTTATATACATATATATTTATTTGATAATCCTAAGGATCAAATTCATGGCAGACCAGCCGTTTACTGGTAAGGTCCATCCCTACCCCTTCTGAACTTTTTTTTTTGTTGGTCATGGGCTTGGGCGCTGTCCCTGCACTCTTCAGCTCATGGCAAGAGCTCTACCGCTTGAGCCACAGCGCTACTCCCGGTTTCCTAGTGGTTTATTGGAGATAAGAGTCTCTCAGATGTTCCTGCCCTGGCTGGCTTTGAACCGTGATCCTCAGATCTCAGCCTCCTGAGTAGCTAGGATTACAGGTGTGAGCCACCGGTGCCCAGCCCCAGCAAATATATGCTAATATAAAAAGTTCAGAAGGGGCCGGGCACCGGTGGCTCACACCTGTAATCCTAGCTACTCAGGAGGCTGAGATCTGAGGATCACAGTTCTAAGCCAGCCTGGGCAGGAAAAGTCTGTGAGACTCTTATCTCCAATAAATCACCAGAAAACTGGAAGTGGCACTGTGACTCAAGTGGTAGAGCTGAGGGACAACGCCCAGGCCCAGAGTTCAAGCCCCCCAACCAACAACAGAAAAAAGTATTTGTTGGGGAACTCAGGAGTTTCACTGTTTAGACTTTTAGCAACTGTGTTCGTAAATTGTTTCTCACTTAATAACTATACCACACACTTTACCAAAGAAACCAAATGAAGCTTTAAATTCCAAAAGTTTTCATTTCAATAACGTTGCCTGTTTGTTTAACATAAACTCACATATACAGAGTATTAGTTCATAAGCAGGTATTGCTGACACATTGTGCAGCACATTTAGGCTCCAGTTACCAGATGCCATTTGTTCCTCAGATCCACAACTCATTTCTACAATGAGGACATTTAAAAAAATATGGCTCGGCACCAGTAGCTCATGCCTGCAATCCTAGCTACTCAGGAGGCTAAGATATGAGGATCAAGGTTCAAAGCAAGCGGGGGGGGGGGGGGGGGGGGGGGGGGGGGGGGGAAGTCCATGAGACTCTTATCTCCAATTAACCACTAGAAACTGGAAGTAGTGCTGTGGCTCAAGTGGTAGAGCACTCGCCTTTAGCTGAAGAGCTGAGGGATAGTGCCCAAGTCCATAGTTCAAGCCCCATGACCAACAAAAAAACCCAACAAAACAAACAAAAAATATGATCATCTATGCACTAGATCAGAGTTACGTTCTAAAGAAAGAGTTATGTTCTAAACTTTTCAGGTCAGGGAGAGATAATTGGAGATGGAACCTTGAGCATAGCAGGCTAGTGCTCTGCCACTACCCTAATTTCCCAAACTCTAAGCTTGGTAAAACTAAGCTATATTATAAATATGAAAATTTTGTTGTACACTTCCGCACAAGGGTGGGCCACCAGAGGCCCTGCTAAAAAGGCTCAGTAGCAAAGGGCTGTTATAACTTGATTCTGACAGCAATGATATGCAGACAAGCTAGCCAGGTAGCCAGGGTTGAGAAAAGATACTGAACTTAGCCAAGCACCGGTGGCTCACGCCTATAATCCTAGCTACTCAGGAGGCTGACATCTGAGGATCGTGGTTGAAAACTAGCACAGGCAGGAAAGTCTGTGAGACTTTTATCTTCAATAAACCACTCAGAAAACCAGAAGTGGTACTGTGGCTTAAGTGGTAGAGCACAAACCTTGAGCTGAAGAGCTCAAGGACAGCACCCAGGCCCAGAGTTCAAGCTCTATCCAACAACAAAAAAGATAAATGTACTTGCAAAAAGCTAAAATGAACAAGTATCAACTTCGGAGATGGATCTTTCTTGGACAATTTTTGTACAAAAAAAAAAAAAAAAGAGAACTTCCCACATTTTCAGCATGAAAAAAAAAACAAACCTAAATCCAGGAAGCTATTGCCCTACTAATACAAAGTTCACAATGTAACTGGGATTTGTCATTGAAAGGTTGGCAAAGTTGTTGTGTACCACAGTACCCATCAGTGAGATGTCCAAGCAAAGCCCAAGGTCAGCAGGGAGCAGGAGCAGCAGCATACACTGAATCAGTTAGCCCCGGATTAAGATGCCACATCAGGGCTTGAGAAGGTGGCTCAGTAGTAGAGTGCTTGCCTTGCATGCATGAAGCCCTAGGTTCAATTCCTCAGGACCACATAAGCCAGAAAGTGGCACTGTGACTCAAGTGGTAGATTGCTAGCTCTTGAGCTGAAGAGCTGAGGGATAGCACCCGGGCCAAGTTCAGGCCCCATGACCGACCAAAAAAATTTAAAAAGCCAGATCAGTGCTTAATCCCAGAGGAAACTCTGGGGGGAAACCTAAACTTACCAGAACAATATCTACTTTCTAGACAGGTGAAATGCTAGTTGCCCTGTAGCTTCCCCTCATTTCTTTCTTTTTTGTGTGTGGGGAGGGTCCAGTCATGGGGCCTGAACTCTGGGCCTGGGCACTGTCCCTCAGCTCTTCAGCTCAAGGCTAGCACTCTACCACTTGAGCCACAGCGCCATTCCCGGCTTTTTTCTTTTTGCTGATGTGATGCTGAGGAATTGAACCCAGGGCCTCATGCATGCAAGGCAAGCACTCTACCACTGAGCCACCTTCCCAGCCCTCATCATAACTTTCATCTAGTTAATCTTAAGTGCTCACTTTTCAAAAATCTTTCCATTTATTTTGAATGAATATAAGTCAGCTGCCTTTCTGCAGCAGGCAACATCTAGCCTTGAATATGAGACTAGAATGTAAAAAACAATGGAAATGATCATCTAACTCACTATCACCCTAAAGTTCCAACCTCAGAGGAGGAGTTAATAGCCATGTCACCTTCCCCACCCCCATGAGGATGAAATGGTAAGGATGGTATTTTTTATTTTCATTTTTTTGTCATTTATGGGGCTTGCCTGAACTCAGTGCCTGGGCTCTGTCTCTGAGCCCTTCAGCTCAAGGCTAACCACTTTGAGCCACAGCTCCACTTCTGGTTTTCTGGTGGTTAATTGCAGTTAAGAGTCTCATGGTTTCCTGACTGGACTGGCTTTGAACCACCATCCTTAGATCTCTGCCTCCTAGGTTGCTAGGATTACGGGTGTGAGCTCCTTCCCCCCCTTCATTCCCCCCCCCCCACACTTGGCAGGGATGGTATTTTGCTGTATAAAATACCAGAGCTCACTACACATAGCCTGCCCTAATCTCTACTTGAAAGAAAACCTGTCTTTTCCTGCCATTTCAGAAAGTACTATTGCTTCCCCATGACCCATGTTCACCTGCTGAAATTGGAAGCGCTGGATTCCGTGCAGAGCTGGGCCCACTTCTCCATGTCTTGGTATCTCCTTATGACTCCCTACACAATTGCTTATTTTACTCAAATACACTATTATGAAAACTCTTAGCAGCAAATAGATATTGAACTTAAGACCTCTGTGCTAGGAAAAGTATTAACCTTTGAAATAGGAATATATTTACAAATTTTATTTTTTTATCACAAAAATACATATAATGAAAACCTTCTCTTCAAATGCAGAGAAGCCTTTGCCTGTCGTGTGGCGTTATATTTATATGACACTGTCATACGAAAACCATCACACAGCTCTTGAACATATAATTGATATATAATACACACATAGACACTATATGTAAGTAGTACTTTTCTACCTACACATTATTCTTGGTGGAAAATTAGGAAAATGGGCAGCCCCCTTGCTTTCCTGCCCTTGGAAGGTAAATACAACTTCTCTTAACAATTTTTAAAGATGAAACATGTAGAAATGCTACACAATCTTCTTCAGACATATTTACATGTTGTTACAATAAAGCAAGGCCCCTGTCACATAGGTGATGGTATATTTCTCAAAGAAAAAGAGAGGGAGAGGGAGAGGAAGGAAGGAAGGAAGGAAGGAAGGAAGGAAGGAAGGAAGGAAGGAGAGAAGGAAGGAGAGAAGGAAGGAGAGAAGGAAGGGAAGGAGGGAGGGGAGAAAAGGGCTGTTTGGCTAAAAATGCAAAACTGAAGAATAGATAGACCAGATGATAGAAATAGTTACATACATGCTCCATGGAGAAAGCAGAATTCTCTACAGGAAACAGATCCACAAGCATCTCAGCTTCTCCCATTAATCAGCACCCAGTGATAGTAGCCATAATCTTCTTGTATGTCACATGTTTAAACAGGTGCCACAAAGCATCTGTTTAAGTTGATAATGAGGTCATGTGGTTAACACTCCCCCAAACCTCAAAAAAAAAAGTGCAAAATTAACTTATATGACTCAAGAGTTCAATCAGGTCTAAGTTTTGGTATATAATGGAGGCTGTTCTGCTGACAATCGAAGCTCAGTAAGATTCTCTGCTCAAGGATTTGCCCCAAAAAGAAAAACTCCTGGTCCACAAAGCTTAATAACTATATAAATAAACAAACTGTACAAAGAGAACAAACCACAATTCCCCTTCAACAAAGGGTTCCATTTCCTAGGCAGCAGTTCTCAAAGCACCAACTAAAGCCACAATGCTTCTACTAAAACACGATGTACTGTAATTGGCGAGACTGTTTAAAAACAAATGACCACAGGCACATGATTATGTGCCACAAAACAAATCAACAAAACCTAAGTCAGTGTTCTTAACACATGCTGGTCAGCAACAGAGGAAAGACTTAAGGCAATAAGAGGCGTTACAGCGAGCACCGTGGTGCTTTGAAGTCAATCCCAAGCCTTTCAAGAAGGAAAAGGTGTCTCAATAGAATGGGTTGTTTCTTAGTTTGCTAGCTGTCAGACACTGCTTCCTCTTCCTCCTCCTCATCCTCGTCCTCCTTCCTGTCTAGTTCAGAAGTATCAGATGATTCGTGGAGCAAGACATACTCTCTGCTACTGAATCCAAACTTAAGTACATCCTTCTCTTTCAGTTCGTAGTATCTTTGTGGCTCAATACGCTTGTTATTCAAGAAGGTTCCATTTCCTGAGCCAAGGTCAATGATGTAGGGCTTTACCCTCCGGCCAACTGTACCATCAGCACGAGTGTACTCCACAAGCCTAGAAGAGACAAGGAGAGAAACTTGTGAGCAAAACTCTGCCTTATCATCCAGCTCTCCTAACACTCCTTGCTACCCAGCCTAGATGATGTAAGCAACCTGGCTTGAACATGATTCAAGTTAAAAACTCTAAGAAAAAAAAAACAAAAAACTCTAAGAAGTCAAGAGGAAGCCAGGCACTGATGGATCACACCTGTAATTTTAGCTCTACTCAGGAGGCTGACATCTGAGGATCATGGTTCCAAGCCAGCCAGGGCAGGATAGTCTATGAGACTCTTTTTCAAGCCCCAATCTTGGGGCTTGAATTCAGGGCCTAGGCACTGTCCCTAGCTTCTTTTGCTCAAGGTTAACACTCTACCACTTGAGCCACAGTACCACTCCTGGGCTTTTCTGTTTATGTGGTACTGAGGAATTGAACCCAGAGCTTCATGCATGCTAGGCAAGCACTCTACCACTAAGCCACATTCCCAGCCTTCTATGAGACTCTTATCTCCAAAAGCTAGAAGTGGAGCTGTGACTCAATTGGCAGAGCACTAGCCTTGAGTAAAAATAACTCAGGGAAAGAGCCCAAGCCTTGAGCTCAAGCCCCATGAATAGAACAAAAAATAAATACAAATAAAAATCTGTTGTGGTTTAATAATAAAATGCTTCTTTTAGCTATACATCAATATTACTTTACCTCTAGTCCAAGTGGAAAAAAAAAATCAGTGGATTAGGACTTCAGATTCAAAGGAGATGGGCTAGATCTGAGTCAGAAATCTTCTGGTAATCACTTACTAGGAAAGTCAGCTGGATGGGGCTGGGAAGGTGGCTCAGTGGTAGAGCACTTGCCTTGCATGGATGAAGCCCTGGGTTCGATTCCTCAGCACCACATAAGCAGAAAAAAAAGCCGGAAGTGGTGCTATGGCTCAAGTGGTAGCGCACTAGCCTTGAGCTGAGAGCTGAGGGACAGCGCCCAGGCCCAGAGCTCAGGCCCCACGACTGAACCCCCACCCCCCCAAAAAAAGGTCATCTGGCTGTGCCCACCTTTACTTTCCTTGTCTTGTCAAATAGGATATTATCTCATCTTTCCCACAGGGTTGTTGTGAGGATCAAATGGCAACAGATAGACAACTCAAGCTTTCAAGATGCAGATTCAGCTAATAAATACACCAACCATTTTCATTTGTATTTCCAATTAAATCTCATAATGACACTGAAAGGCAGGTACAAACAGGACCAGAATGGCTTGTCCCAGAGTCAAATACTTGGCAAGTGCTAAGGGCATATTAAAAATCTGAGTTTCTGAAACGAAGTTGAAAGCTCTTATTCAGTAAGCAGCTAGATTACAGTACTCTTTAATACTGCCACTAGACAAGAGGGGCACAGACTCCAGAGCACTGCTGAGACATTTAGCCCCTGCTGGCATTCCAGGGTCCTCTTCCAGGTGTATACTTACCGATACTGAAAGACTGCATGCTGCTTTGAACAAGAGGGATGATCGATTGGAATGTCTGCAATGCGCCGGTGTCGACCCAAAAGATAAGCACTCTGTCGATGGATGTACATGACTGGAAGAACCTCATCATTTTTAAATGGGTAGAGACGCCAGCGTTTTTTAGGGATACGTGCTTCTGGGGGCTCACTGTACTTAATGACGACACCCCGGAAGGTGTTAGTGTCCTCAAGAAGTGCCCCAGAAAGTTCAAAGCTTGGTTTTTCTTTAACAGGCACTTCTTTGTTTCTGTTGCCACCAGGTTGAGGAACCATCTCTTGAGCCTCATTAGCAGTGCTAGTGACTTCGTTCTGGCGGTGCTCCCGGCGCCTGGCATTATAAAACTCCCGCTCTTCCTCCTGAGCCTGCAAGTTGTGGCTGTCTCTATCCCGGCCCTGTCCACCACCAGGCCTTTCATCAGAGCTCTTCCTTTGGCGGGAATGGCCCCGATGCTTGTCTCTGTCTCGGTTACTGTTCCTAGATCTCCTGTGTTCCTGCTGTGATGGGTCCTGGTGCTGTCGGTCCTCCCGTCCTCTCCGAGGGTAATCCTCCCGTTCCTGAAATTCAAACAATCTGTGAAAAAGCTGCTGTAATCATAGTTGTCTGGGGGCACTCAGAACAAAGTTTCCCACAGACATAAAGTTAAATGTGGTGTTTATGTTCCCTTGTAAAAGGCGCTAAAGATCTATATCATGCCGCTACACAACTGCAGCCCTAACAGCACAAGCCATGCCCAGAAAATGAAAAGTAAGGAAGCCTGATACAAAAAGAAGGAAAAAAAGCACATTCCCTTTCAGAGCACTATTAACCACAGGCAACTTTCAGAGCCATGAAAATAAAAGAACAATTAAGTAGTCACACGCGAGCTTTTTTTTTTTTTAAAAGGTAGTTTCCTCATGTCAATAATGAAATCATAACACTCATCTTAAAAGATTACACTTCAGGGCTGGGAAGGTGGCTCAGTGGTAGAGCGCTTGCCTTGCACGCATGAGGCCCTGGGTTCGATTCCTCAGCACCACATAGCAAAAAGAAAAAAGCCGGAAGTGGCGCTGTGGCTCAAGTGGTAGAGCACTAGCCTTGAGCTGAAGAGCTGAGGGACGGCGCCCAGGCCCAGAGTTCAGGCCCCACTACCGGACCCAAAAAAAAAAAGATTACACTTCAGGGGTTGGGAAGTGGCTCAGTGGTAGAGTGCTTGCCTTGCATGCATGAGGCCCTAGGTTTGATTCCTCAACACCACATAAGCAGAAAAACCCAGAAGTGGCACTGTGGCTCAAGTGGTAGAGTGCTAGCCTTGAGTCTGAAGAGCTGAGGAACAGCACCCAGGCCCAGAGTTCAGGTCCCATGACCGGGAGGTGGGGGAGAGGGAGTAGATTACACTTTAGTGGGTCATATCTGCAATCCTAGCTATGCAGGAGGCTAAGATCTGATGATCATGGTTCAAAGCCATCATGAGAAGGAAGGTCCATGAGACTCTTGTCTCCAATTAAACACCAAAAAAAGACAGATGTTGACCTATGGCTCAAGTAGTAGAGTGCTAGCCTTGAGCAAAAAAGTTCAGGGACAGTGCCCAACCTTGAGTTTAAGCCCCATGACCAGCACCCAAAAGCAAAACAAAACCCACAAAACCCACCATTCTACTTCAACAGTACCAAAACTTATTTAGTATCTAGGAATAAACTTAAGAAACAGGAAAAATGTAGGAAATCTGTAAAAATGTATTAACAGACATTTTATTTTATTTTATTTATTTATTTTTTTGGTTTGGTCGTGCAGATAGTGGAGATAGGAGTCTCACGGTCTTTCCTGCCCAGGCTGGCTTTGAACCTCGATCCTCAGATCTCAGCCTCCTGAGTAGCTAGGATTACAGGCCTGAGCCTGTGAAACTCTAATCTCCAATAAACCACCAGAAAACTGGAAGTGGCACTGTAGCTCAAGTGGTAGAGCGCTAGCCTTGAGCTAAAGAGCTGAGGGACAGCGCTCAGGCCCAGAGTTCAAGCCCCACGACTGACCAAAAAAAAAACAAAACTGAGTTTGACAAAAAAAAGTTGGGGCTGGGAATGTTAATGGTAGAGTGCTTGCCTAGAATGCATAAAGCCCTGGGTTTGATTCCTCAGTACCACATAAACAGAAAAGGCCAGAAGTGGCGCTGTGGCTCAAGTGGTAGAGTGCTAGCCTTGAGCAAAAAAGCAGCTTAGGGACAGTGCCCAGGCTCTGAGTTCAAGCCCCAGGACTGGCAAAAAAATAAAAATAATAAAAGTTTGCAGTACAGACCATATATTAATATATCAGTGAGTTTGTTAATAACACAAATACTAGAAAATGGGCAAAGTACATTATTAAGGAAATTCAGAAGAAATAAAAGCTTAATAAGGGGTAAAGATATGCCTGCTTGGCAAGCTAGGGAGCCTGAGTTCAATCCCTAGAACTGACTTTAAAAGAAGTACAAATTCCTGATGATATGTTTAGTCTCACTACTAACCAAAGCATCAGTGCTATATAAAGAACATGAATTTTTTTTTTTTTAATTTTTTTTTTTGGGTCCAGTTGTGGGGCCTGAACTCTGGGCCTGGGCGCTGTCCCTCAGCTCTTCAGCTCAAGGCCAGCGCTCTACCACTTGAGCCACAGCGCCACTTCCGGCTTTTTTCTTTTTTTTGCTTATGTGGTGCTGAGGAATCGAACCCAGGGCCTCGAGCATGCAAGGCAAGCGCTCTACCACTGAGCCACCTTCCCAGCCCCAAGAACATGAATTTTCTCTGCTTAGATTAGCAATATTAAGCCAAGCAGCTACTCAGGAGACTAAAAGCTAAAGACTGTAGTTCAAAGCTAGCCCAGGCAGGAAAGGCAATGAGATTCATCTCCAATTAACCACCAGAAAACCAGAAGTGGAGCTATGGCTCCGAGTGGTAGCTCTATCACTTTGCTAGACTTGAGCTAAAAAGCTCAGGGACAGTGCCCAGTCCCTGAGTTCAAGCCCCAAGGCCAACAAAGAAAAAAAGAAACAGCTTACACCTTTAATCCTTGCTACACGGAGGCTGAGATCTGAGGATCGTGGTTCAAAGTCAGCCCAAGTAGGAAAATCCGTGAGAGACTTATCTCCAAGCAGAGGTGTGGCTGAAGTGGTAAAGTGTTAGTCTTGAGATAAAAAAAAAGCTAAGTGAGCCTTGACTCAGAATCCTGAGTTTAAGCCTCAGTACCAACCAGCAAACATACACACACACACAACTAACCGACAAGGTTAGGTATGGTGGTGCCACTACATTTGAGCTGTACTTTAATCTGAAGCCCACCAGGAAAAACTTGAGACTGACAACAAACTAAAAGCAAAATGCACTGAGGGCCAAGAACTTGTCTAGCAAATTCAAGGTTTTGAGTTTAAGTTTCTGAGTTCAATCTCTAGTATTCCTTCTCCCCAACAAACAAAACTGAAATTCAGAACCCAGAAATACAAATACATATCTACAAATACATATCCAACTAATACGTGCATGTATGTGCTTGTGTGTGTGTGTGTGTGTGTGTGTATGTGTGTGTGTGAATACTGAGGGTTGTACTCAAAGCTTGGGCACTGTCCTTTAGCTTTTTCACTCAAAGCTGGGGCCCTATTACTTCAGCCACAGTTCTACTTCTGGCTTTTTGTTAGTTAATTAGAGATAAAGAGTCTCATGGACTTTCCTTCCCAGGCTGACTTCAAACTGGGCCTCCTGAATAGCTAGTATTATATTATAGATAGGTACGAGTCACTAGCATCTAGCCCAACCGATTGTTGACAAAAGAGCAAAAATCAATCAAATAGAAGAAAAACAACTTTCTTTTTTATTTGGGGGGGAGAGGGGAGGGATTGTTGGTTCTGCAGCTTGAATTCTCAGTGTACATCTTCTCACAGATTGCACTCCACCATTTAAACCACATTTTTCTACCTGGGCTGGCTTCAAACTACCATCTGCAGATCTCAGCCTTCTAAACAGCTAGGATTCAGGTATGAGCACCAGAAACTGATAAAAAACAGCCTTCTCAACAAATAGTACTGAATAAAATGGTCATCATCCACAGGCCAAAACCTAAATCTCAACACAGTCCCAAATCTTAGTACCAAATTGAAACAAACTGAAAACCTACAACGTTAAAGAAGCAAAAAACAGGGCTGGGAAGGTGGCTCAGTGGTAGACCGCTTGCCCTGCATGCCTGAGGCCCTGGGTTCGATTTCTCAGCACCACATAAGCAAAAAGAAAAAAGCCGGAAGTGGCGCTGTGGCTTAAGTGGTAGAGCACTAGGCTTGAGCTGAAGAGCTGAGGGACAGCACCCAGGCCCAGAGTTCAGGCCCTAAGACTGGACCCCCCCCCAAAAAAAAGAAGCAAAAAACAGCAGAAGAGGCAGTCAGGAATTAAGGAAGGATAAAGGATTAAGGAAAGAAGTGGGGGCGCTCGGAAGTACCACATTGGAGATCCCTGTAGAGACAAATTCTATATCTAGACTACATCAATAACAATGTTCTGGTTGTGATCCTATCAACAGTTCTGTTAAGATGTGACTATTTGGAGAAGCAAAAAAGAGTACACCTCTCTGAATTGCTTGTGATAAATGCAATTATCAGATGTGAATTAACAACTGCTTCAAAATAAAAGCTTAATATAAGCAAATGAGTAGAACTACTCCCTGCATACACTTTTTAGAAAAGCTTGCACACACATGTACACACATGCGCGCGCACACGTGCACACGCGCGCGCGCACACACACACACACACACACTCTCTCTCTCTCTCAAGCCAGGTACCAGTGACTCTCACCTGTAATCCTAGCTACTCAGGAGGCTGAGATCTGAGGATCACGGTTCAAAGCCAGCCCTGGCAAAAAAAGTCCATGAGACTCTTATCTCCAATAAACCACTAGAAAACGGGAAGTGGTAGAGCACTCGCTTTGAGCTGAAGAGCGCAGGGATAGCGCTCAAGCGGAGTTCAAGCCCCACACCAACAAACAAAAAACAAACAAACAAAAAAACACTCTCTTCAGCTTGGCATGAAGATATGGAGCCAGTTATCAAACACCCTTGATCCACTTACCTGCTTAACTTTGACTGTTGAGTGGTGAGGACTCCGGCTTCTCTTAGTCCGAGGAGACTTGCTTCTTCTCCCCGAAGACTTGATTTTCTTTTTGGCTGGGGACCTTTTCAGAGAAAGGGATACTGGATTTTATCTCAATTTCCCTTCTCCCACACAAATCAGATTCTCATATCAGGCCTACCTACTAAACATAAACCATAAACACCACATTTGGAAGATTGCTTCTGATCACTAAAGGAGTTAAGGGCTTTATTTATTTATTTTTTTTGGGGGAGTGGGTCAATTGTGGGCCTTGAACTCTGGGCCTGGGTGCTGTCCCTCAGCTCTTCAGCTCAAGGCTAGCACTCTACCACTTAAGCCACAGGGTCACTTCCAGTTTTTGGGTGGTTTATTGGCAATAAGAGTCTCACGGGGCTGGGAAGGTGGCTCAATGGTAGAGCGCTTGCCTTGCATGCATGAGGCCCTGGGTTCGATTCCTCAGCACCACATAAGCCAAAAGAAAAAAGCCGGAAGAGGCGCTATGGCTCAAGTGGTAGAGCGCTAGCCTTGAGCTGACGAGCTGGACAGCACCCAGGCCCAGAGTTCAGGCCCCACGACCGGACAGAAAGAAAAAAAAAAAAGTCTCACAGACTTTGCTTGCCCGGGCTTTGAACCACAATCCTCAGATCTCAGCCTTCTGAGTAGCTAGGATTACAGGTGTGAGCCACCCGGGCCTGCCAGGGCTTTCTTAACACTAAGGTCCCCTCTAAAGCCACATCTTGAACCTTCCTGCTTAGATACTAATTCTTGATTTCAAACCCTTTTCTTATCCCAATGTTTGCCACTTTATTAGCCAACACCCAGAAGTCATTTTTTTTCTCAACACAACCAAACAGTCTCTCCTTTCACCAGCAGTCACATTCAATCTATCAACATGTCATCCAGAGGACTTCCCCCGATCCTACCTAGAACCAACACGATTCTGCTTCAGGTTCTTTCCACAAATTGTTTCCTCTGCCTAGATCTTAAAGAGCTGGATCAATCGGATCACTCCAGTCTTAGCTTAAAATAAATCCTCTTCCACTTCCTCCAATCACCAGCCCATACTCTTTTAAGATGTCTTACTATTTGTTTACCATTCATCTATTGGCTGGCTATCCTGTTCGTCTTGGGGCTACATAAGTCCCCCTCCCCAGCCGATTTCTCGAGGTTAAAGACTATCTTTAGTTGATCCTTGTGACCCAGTACCTGGAATGGTACCTAGGCCCTCAGTAACACTATGTTGAATAGATGTTTAAATGAAGGAGTATAGAAAACCGTGTTTGTTTTTTTCCCCCCTTCAGAGTTCTAGGTGGACCGCCTAGAACTCGGTATAGGAATCTTTGAGGGAACAACACTAGAAAGACACCAGTCGCACTCTTTAGTGGGGGCAGGGGAGGAGCGATGATCTCATTTTGACTTCATAAGCGTTCGGTGTTACCTGCTGAATGGGGAGGGACCCCGGCCGAAGACACCAGACCCCGATCGTTAAGCGCGCACTTAGCAGCGCCACAAGGCGAGAGGCAGTGCTGGGGTGAAGGTTCTGTAACGAACACGCCCGGACGCCCCCACCACCTCAGGATGGCGTCTACTTCCCCACAGGGCTCCACCCAAACTTCTCCACCCCGGGTGTCTCGCACTTACCGGCTCACTCCCCGGGCTCGGCTCCCGCGGCGGCCTGGTGGCGGGGTCGGGCTGCCGCCGCCGCCGGCGAGGTCGGGACGGCGCTGGGTGGGCGGCGCGGCTTCCGGACTGAGGCGTTCCTGCTTCACCACCACAGCCGGCGCCATAGTCACCACGTCTCCGTTCCGGTGCCTCCGCCGGCCCCCGCGCACTCGCTCTTTCCTCACCTCCTTCATCCCGCAGCTTGGACGGAGCAAATGAAGTCCAGGCCGTTGAGCTCGCCTTTATCTTCAGGAAATGACGCGCCTACTCCCTGAACTTCCGCTTCCGGGAGGGTGTGCTTCCCAGAAGCCCTCACGGCCTCAAAGTTCTGGGTGTGTGACCACGCCCTTGTGGGCGTGGCTCCAGGTAACCAGGGTGCGTGGTAGATGGTTATACTTCAAGAGCAGTATCTAGGGCTGGGGTCGTGGCTCAAGTAGTAGAGTTCCAGCTCGGTAAGCGCATCAGGCCTGAGTGCCGACCCCCAGAAAAAACAGGCCGCATCAAAGTTACCTCTCCCAGCGAGGAACTTTCCAGCATCCATTTGGCCCCCACCCAGTTGCCGGAAAGTGGCCCAGTGGGGCTGTTGCTAGAATGTGAGTTGGGGGCAGACAAAGTGGGGCTATCTGAAGGACAGGAAAACCACTAAGATAGGTATATATATATATATATATATATATAATATTTATTTTTTGGTCGTGGGGCCTGAACTCTGGGTCTGGCACTGTCCCTCAGCTCTTCAGCTCAAGGCTAGCACTGTACCACTTTGAGCCACAGCGCCACTTCCAGCTTTTTTCTGCTTATGTGGTGCTGAGGAATCGAACCCAGGGCTTCGTGCATGCAAGGGAAGCACTCTACCCCTGAGCCACCTTCCCAGTCCCTATATATATATTTTTATAACAATACAGAAAGAGTAGAACTGGATATCATGATTTCTGCACAACTGGAAAGAAATTGTTCACCTAGTCAGAAGTTGATGTCAGCCTGCCTGACCTTTTGTATATCTGATTAATGTGTATAACCAGCTTGTAGGTCTGGGCTGGGAATGTGGCTTAGTAGTATAGTGCTTGCCTGGCATGCATGAAGCCCTGGATTCAATTCCTCAGTACCACATAAACAGAAAAAAAAAAAAAAATAGAAATGGTATTGTGGCATAAGCGGTAGAGGGCTAGCCTTGAGCATAGAGAGGCTCAGGACAGTGTCCAGGCCCTGAGTTCAAGCCCCAGGACTAGCAAAAACAAACAAACAAACAAAAAACAAGATCTCCCCTCCCTTAGGATCCAAACTTCTTCTGGCACTAGCCTGAAGTATTCCAACTTCCCAGAGCCTGTGGGACTCCAACCCACTATTGGTGAAAGAAGTCCCCAACAATCAATAGGGTTAGGAACCTTTATTAACCCCGGCGACTAACCTCCACTATTGAGACAGTAAAGACCAGCCCAGAACTCAAATAGCACAGGGAATAGAAAGGCAAAAACCACAGAGGCCACTCACAGTTGGTCAGTGGTAATTTTGCAATCAGTAAGGAAGCCAGTTACAGAAGCAAAGCTAGCAGTTAATAATTATAAATGGCAATTACAATTTCAATAACCAAGACAAAGTTCTCATTCCTTTGTTAGAACCAGGTTAATTAAACAAAGAGTATTAATTAGACCAAGGAAAAACTAAATTTAACTGGGACAAACAAAACCAAGGTAACCTGAGAAACGTAAGTATGGACCCTAGGAATGGAACAAACTGAGGCCTAGCATTTACTGAAATTTGCAAAGTGAGGAAGAATAAGGCCAGACTTGAAAGGCAGAATCTCCTTGTATAAACTGCAGGTTAGTCATTAAAGGGAAAATTCCAGAGATAAAGATTTGAAGTAAATTAATTAGTTTTTTTTGGGGGGGGCGGGTCCGGTCGTGGAGCCTAAACTCTGGGCCTGGGCGCTGTCCCTCAGCTCTTCAGCTCAAGGCTAGTGCTCTACCACTTGAGCCACAGCGCCACTTCCGGCTTTTTTCTTTTTTCTTATGTGGTGCTGAGGAATGGTACCCAGGGCCTCAGGCATGAAAGGCAAGCGCTCTACCACTGAGCCACCTTCCCAGCCCCTGAAGTAAATTAGTTAAACACCAGGTTACTGGAATTCAGTAGATAACAGTGAAACTCAGACAGAGCCAGAAAACCTGGAAGGTGGTTTAATTTTGGGGGTGTGATAAGAAATTTGGAATGTGGTTTTTGCTTCAAGGACTTACTACTTTGTATATAGAGGCTGTAATTGCTATTTCACTTACTTGCTTCTTTGATGGGAAGATTTGCCTTGTGATTTATGGTCTTGGTTATTGGAATAACTGGAATTGTAATCACCATTTTGTAATCACTAACTGCTAGCTCTGCTTCTGTAACTTGCTTCTTTGCCAGTCATGGCCACCTGCTAGTGGTGCCCCCTCCCCTATGGATCTTGCCTTCAAATACCCTGAGCTATTTGACTTCACTGCTGGTCTTCACTGTTTGGGTGTAGTGGAGGTCAGATGCCATGGCCATTTAATGATTCCTAGCCCTATTGACTGAGTATTGGTGACTCCTTTCACCCATTGTGGGTTCGAGTCCCACCAGCCCTGGGAAATTGCAATATTTTACCTTGATCTTCCCTTTGCTCTCAGTTTTGGGTTTTCTTCTAAAGGGAAATTCCCACCTTTCAAGTTTGGCCTTATTCATATTAATCAATAAAACTAACTGCAAAGGGTCTAGTTCTGTTTTAATATATTTGCTAAGCAAGCATAATCACAAAAAAGAAACATTGGGACATTGGTGGTCAGCCTTGCATACTGTTGGCCCTATTTTTACGTGCTTTGCAATACTTGGTAAATGTCAAAGCACAGTTTTGTTCCCCTTTCTCAAGTTTGCATTTCTTATTTTTAGGTGCTGGGACTTAATTATCCCAGTTAAATTTCCTTCTTCCTTAGTCTAATTAATACTTAACTTGTTTAATTTAACCTAGTCCTAACAGTCTAGTTGGGGTCAATCGCAGCAATAAACTCCTTTATCCTCTCTAAAAAGTAGTCTGGATCTTTGATGGTCTGTGTTGGTTGCTGTAACAGAATGAATCAATCAATTAATAGCAGAGGGCAGGTGGTACACACCTTTAATCCTATCTACTTGGGAGGCTGAGACTTGGAGGATAGTGGTTTGAAGGCAGCCGGAAGTCCACGAGACTTTAACTCCAAGTAACTAAAAGGAAAAGAATAAAAGAGAAAAATAGGAAACTGGACTAGAGATGAGAAAACTGGACTTGAAGTGTGGTACAAGTGGCCAGTAGAGGGGGTGGGGAAAGCCAGAAAAAAAAAAGCTGAGGGGCTGGGAAGGCTTGCCTTGCATGCCTGAGGCCCTGGGTTCAATTCCTCAGCACCACATAAGCAAAAAAGAAAAAAAGCCGGAAGTGGCGCTGTGGCTTAAGTGGTAGAGTGCTAGCCTTGAGCTGAAGAGCTGAGGGACAGCGCTCAGGCCCAGAGTTCAGGCCCCACGACCGGACCCCCCCAAAAAAAAAAAAAAAAAAAGCTGAGTGAGGTCAGTTCTGGTCGCTCACACTTGTAACCCTAGCTGCTCAAAAGGCTGAGATGAAAGGACTGTGATTCCAAGCAAGCCCAGGCAGGAAAGCCCAGTTCCAATTAAGGAATATATATGAGAGGGGGAGAGATCTCAAGGGCTTGAGTTCAAGTCCAATACACAAAAATTAAATTTAAAAGCACATTTCTGGAGACTCAGAGACACTGAGTATGCTCCCCAACAACTGAAGGGAAAACATCACTATCAGCTGTAGAATTCCATACCCAATTTACTCCCAGTATCTTCCTGTAAAAGCAGAGATCTCAGCCCTCTCAAACAGGAGAGCAAGCTTTCCTTTCATCAGTGTGATTTTCTGTTGGAATAAGTGGAAGGCATAGATGATGTAGGCTGGAGAATCGAGACCTATATTTCTAGCCATTTCAGAACAACACACGATGGAGTTAAACCCAACAACTGTTATAATAAATGTATAACATTTCATAGTTTATAAATATAAATAACATCATTTGCCTCAAACAAGAGCCACTAGTTTTCCCTTTTTACTAGTTGCAGGTTTACTCCTCCCCCCCCCCCAAAAAAAAAAAAAAAACTTTTCACAAGAGCAAACTGTAGAAATAAACATATTAAGAAATTTAGTGTTTATATTTTTGCTGTTACATGTGAATTGCCCAGCCCCACTCACATTGGGAATTAGGCCCAGCGTAGGGACTCGAACCCTTGTTCTCCTGGCATCCAATAGTACCTGGGCTTCCTCCAGAATCAAAGCCCCTAAGAAACCATGTATATCAGAGGTTTGGGGTAAAAAGGAAACTCATGGACGGCTGGCCCCGCCCCTCTCCGAAGCCCCGCCCCGGCCAAGAAGGGGTTTCCATGGTGACGGCAAACAAGGCCCTGACTGGAGGGGCCACTGCTGGGCTGCTACCCCGGCCGCCGCCATGATCCCCCCAGCGGATTCCCTGCTGAAGTATGACACCCCAGTGTTGGTGAGCCGGAATACGGAAAAACGGAGCCCCAAGGTAAGGGCAACTCTCAGGAGGATGACTCAGCCTGGAAGTTCCCATGCAGAAAGGTCGGGACCCTGAGGGTCGGGAATCTCAAGGGACAGGGATGGTAGTGACTGGCAGTAAAAGGAATTGCATCTGGGAAGGAGTGTGGAAGAATGATCTGAGAAGTCCGAATGTAAGTGTGACCCAGAGGACAGATTTAGGATGAAAGAGCTAACTCAGGGAGATGGATGGAGCTCTGCTGCTCATGGTAGTAGCCATGTCCATCAGATAGTGATTTTCCCATCACAAGAGGGGTGAGAGAGGAGGCCTAGATCACTCATGTCAGTGACATCTTTTTTTTTTTTTTTTGCGGGGGGGGGGGGGGGGGGGGGGCAGTTTGGAATCTGAGACCTTTCATAGCCTCCGTCAGCTCTGAGACATTTCTACTGGGAAGATGAATGGGGAAAGTGGGAATGGGGAGGGATGGCAGAGGAGATGTGGAGCAATCCAGAGTGCCTCAACTATCATCTACCCTCAGATGTGCCTTCCTCTCCTTCTTAGGCTCGGCCACTGAAAGTCAGCCCTCAGCAGCCTGGACCCTCAGGCCCGGTCCCACAACCACCCAAGGCCAAGCTTGGAGCAACCTCCTGTGTCCCAGATCCTACCAAACAGGCAGAAGAAATCTTGAATGCCATCCTTCCACCAAGGTAAAAAAGTAGGAGTAAGACTCAGGCTTTTGTGCTGGGTAGGTGGCTCAGTGGTAGAGTTGCCTTGCATGCATGAGGCCCTGGGTTGGATTCCTCAGCACCACATAAGCAGAAAAAGCCAGAAGTGGCACTGTGGCTCAAGTGGTAGAGTGCTAACCTTGAGCTGAAGAACTGAGGGACAGCGCCCAGGCTGAGGGTTCAAGCCCCACAACTGATATATATATATATATATAGACTCAGGGGGCTGGGAAGGTGGCTCAGTGGTAGAGCGCTTGCCTTGCATGCTCGAGGCCCTGGGTTCGATTCCTCAGCACCACATAAGCAAAAAGAAAAAAGCTGGAAGTGGCGCTGTGGCTCAAGTGGTAGAGTGCTAGCCTTGAGCTGAAGAGCTGAGGGACAGCCCAGGCCCAGAGCTCAGGCCCCACAACCGGACCCCCCCCCCCAAAAAAAAAAGACTCAGGCTTTTATATCCCACAACTGAGGAGCATGGGGAGAGGCAGTCTGCCACTGTGCCTGGCTCTAATTTCCTCATAGTGTCCCCTAGCTCCCGCAGGAGAAGCTTCAGTCTGCTCTTATTTTCTAATTGTCCTTAGCCAGACTCATGACTTTTGATGCTATCTATACACTGATGGTTCCCAAGTGTGTTTTTACAACACTGCCCTCTCCTCTAAACTCCACTATAAACTCAATTTCTTCCTCATTGTCTTCTTCAAGATTTCCAACATTCTCAATGTGATGTGTATAAACTGAATCACAATGTTTTGTTTCTTCAACCAGCATGTCATACTATCTTTTGTCTTTTTCTAAGAGAACAGACCTCTTTCACTGCTTCTTTTTTGTTATTGCTCTGTGTGTGTGTGTGTGTGTGTGTAGTACTAGGACTTGACTCAGGACCTTGTACTTTTCCAAGGCTAGTGTTCTACCACTTGAGCCAAACCTCCACTTCTAGCTTCTTGCTGGACAAATGGAGATAAGTCTCATGCACTTTACTTCCAGGCTGGCTTCAAACTTTGATCTTTCAGATCTCAGCCTCCTGAGTGGCTAAGATTACAGGCTTAAGCCACTAGTGCTTGGTAATTTTTTTTTTTTGGGGGGGGGGTCGGTCATGGGGACTGAACTATGGGCCTGGACGCTGTCCCTCAGCTCTTCAGCTCAAGGCTAGCACTCTACCACTTGAGCCACAGTGCCACTTCTATCTTTTTCTGTTTATGTGGTGCTGAGAAATCCAACCCAGGACCTCATGCATGCAAGGCAAGCACTCTACCACTGAGCACCTTCCTAGCCCTGCTTGGTAATTTTTTGTCTGTTTTGGGGGTTATTTTTGTGCTGGTTCTGGGGCTAAAACTCAGAGACTGAGGACTGTCGATGTGCTTTTTTGTTTAAGGCTAGTGCTCTACCACTTGGGCCACAGCTCTTCCAGCTTTATGATGAATTGGAGATTAAAGTGGTCTTTTCTGTTCTGGAAGGCTTCAAACTGTATTCTTCAGATCCCCAGCCTTTTGAGTAGCTAGGATTACAGGCCTGAGCTACTGGTGCCTGGCTTCATTTATTTGTGTTTTTTTTTTTTTCTTCTTTTTCTTGAGACAGGGTCTTGCTATGTGATTCAGGCTGATTTCAAACTCATAATCCTTTGGGTCTGACTCTTGAGTGCTAGAATCACAGGCATGTACCACCCTGACTATTCCTTTCATTGCTTTTGAATTCTCACACAATACTTCTTTTCCTTTAACAATTTTCTTTTAGGTGGCTCAGTGGTAGAGCGCATGCCTTGCATGCCAGAGGCCCTGGGTTCGATTCCTCAGCACCACATAAGCAAAAAGAAAAAAGCCAGAAGTGGCGCTGTGGCTCAAGTGGTAGAGCGCTAGCCTTGAGCTGAAGAGCTGAGGGACAGTGCCCAGGGCCAGAGTTCAGGCCCCATGACTGGACCAAAAAAAAAAACAAAAAACAATTTTCTTTTACTCCAGCTTCATATGATCTCTCAAGTCCATCTACCTAATTGTCCCCTGCCTCTGCCATCTTGTTCCTACTGTTTGCTACCTGCACTGCTGCAGTGGCTTCATGTTGGTAAACCCTGGTTCCACTCTGCTCCTGAACTCTGTCCTCAACACCTTAACCACAAGTCATATCAACAGACTCTAAAATGTAAAATCATAGCTGGGCACCAATGGCTCAAACCTGTAATCCTAGCTACTCAGGAGGCTGAGATCTGAGGATCATGGCTCAAAGCCAGCCTGGATAAGAAATCCTGTTGCTGGGTGCCGATGGCTCATGCCTGTAATTCTAGCTATACAGTAGGCTGAGATCTGAGGATCACAGTTGAAAGCCAGTCCAGACAGGAAAGTCTGTGAGACTCTTCATTTAACTACCAGAAAACTGAAAGTGGCTCTGTGGCTCAAGTGATACAGTGCTAGTCTTAAGCTGAAGAGCTGAGGAACAGCACCTAGGCCCAGAATTCAAGCCCCATGACCAAGCAAAAAAAAAAAATCTGTGACACTCTTATCTCCAATTAACCACACACACACACACACACACACACACACACAAAGCCAGAAGTGGAGCTGTGGTTCAAGTGGTAGAGTGCTAGCCTTGAGCAAAAGCAGCTCAGGGACAGAGCCCAGGTCCTGAGTTCAAGCCCTAGAACCAGCAAAAAAGAATAAAAATAAATATAATAGTAGTAATAGAATGCAGGCTGGGAATGTGGCTTAGTGGTAGAGTGCTTGCCTAGCATGCATGAAGCCCTGGGTTCAATTCCTCAGTACCACATAAGCAGAAAAAGCCAGACAGGAGTAGTGTTGTGGCTCAAGTGGTAGAGTGCTAGCCTTGAGCAGAAGAAGCTCAGGGACAGTGCCCAGGCTCTGAGTTCAAGTCCCAGGACTGGCAAAATAGAAATAATAATAATAAATAATAATGCAAAGTCCTTACAATGCCTAGAAGACATGACATGATGTGGCCTATGACCTATCCCTGTTCTCATCACTTTATCTTCCATCCTGTTCACTGTGCTAAAGCCAAAAGGGCCATCACACGATTTCTGAAACACCTTAATCACTTCAGGGCCTTGACAGTTACTGTTCTCATGTTCTCTCCTTTTCATTACCCGTGTAGGCATTGCTCATGTCCTTTCCTCTTTTAGAGCCCCTCTTTAACATGCTCCCTTGCCTGGCTTTACTTCTGCAGTCCTGTGTAGCACATGTGACCTTTATAAGGCTGTGAAGTAGAGAAACCAGAAGTGAGTGTCATCTCTCAGATGGATGTTAAGGGAGGGGCTTGATTTGTCACTTGATTTCCTCCCATCAATAACAGCACAAAAGCTAGCTCCCTTGTCATTCTGGAACCTGGCATGGCTCTAGCACAATGTCCAAGACCCTCACTGCTCCTAACATACATGTGCTTCTTTCTGACACACCCAAGGTTTATGGTGTCTTGTGGGCCTTCTGTTCAGATCAAGCAGCAGGACTGTAAGTCCCTTCTCACCATGCTAGGAGAGTAAGATGTGGAATAGTGGTGGATTGGAGGACCTGTGGAAGGTGACCTCACCCACCCAGCCCTGAGGTAGAGTCCCTGGGGGAGATAGCATAGTGGGTGTTACTTTGAAGCTCATACTCCAAGAGAGAGGGAGAGACTCTAAAGGGCTGGTAGCAGAGCTCTCACTCCTGCTCAGGCTAAGAGCTTTTCAGGCCCTCTGACATCTGTAAGTTTTCATTCTGCTCATTCTGGCTGTGTCTGTGCCACAGGGAGTGGGTGGAAGACACGCAGCTATGGATCCAGCAGGTGTCCAGCACCCCCAGCACCAGGATGGACGTGGTACATCTCCAGGAACAACTGGACCTGAAGCTGCAGCAGCGACAGGCCAGGGAGACGGGCATCTGCCCTGTCCGCAGAGAGCTCTACTCACAGTGTTTTGGTGAGTACTATACATCCTCCTGCCTCCTTCTCTTCTCCTTCAGCACAAATCCAAGCCCTGAGCACCCCCAAGTTGAAACCTACCCCATCTTTGTCTGACTTACTCAGCAACTACTAAATGAACCCTCTTCCCCTCCCAAGGTCTCATACCAGTAGCCCATCTGACAGTCACTGTATTCTTGGAAACCTAGGTTCCTTATTCCTGAGCAGATACTTGGAGTAAGACAAGAACTTTCCACTTAAATCTTAATGTTTACAAAGATTTCTATAATAAGCATGCACTTAAAAAAAAAAAAAAAAAAACCTCTGGGCCTGGGTGCTGTCTCTCAGTTCTTCAGCTCAAGGTTAGGGCTCATGGGCTTTCCTGCCTGGGCTGGCTTTGAACTGTGATCCTCAGATCTCAGTCTCCTGAGTAGCTAGGATTATAGGTGTGAGCCACTGGCGCCCGGCCAGTTGTATCATCTTTTGTCAGTTGTGGAGCTTGAACTCTGGCCCAGGGTGCTGTCCCTGAACTCTTCAGCTCAAGGCGAGCACTCTGCACTTGAGACACAGCGCCACTTCCAGTTTTCTGGTGGCTGATTTGGAGATGAGAGTCTCACAGACTTTCCTGCTTGGGTTGGCTTTGAACCATGATCCTCAGATCTCAGCCTCCCAAGTAGTGAGTTATAGGCATGAGCCACTGGTGTCCGGCTTTGCAGTTAATTTTTAATCAGAAAAATTCATGTCCTATATATATCCATTCATCCATCAACATTGGCTTTCAGTTAATCAACAGATACAAGAGATTTAAGAAGATGTGCTATCTTGAGTGCTGGTGCTAATATGCCACTCAGTCTAGTTTTGCTGGCATGTGGACTCTGATCTGCAAAACACCTCCAAACTCCAGGGCAGCTGAAGGCTTCCCTCAGCCTCAGCATGGGTGGGGTTTTCCCTCCAGATGTTTATAGAAAGATGGAGGCAAGATCTAGACCCTGCTTTCCAAATCAATCTGGCCAAAGGGACTGCTGAATTAAAATACCACCATATTCCCAATGAAAAGGTCAGATTTCTTTACTGGTATCTTGCTGGCTGTTCTTCGAAATGCAGAGTTCAGTGGAGCATCTGCATGACCAGGCTTCTTGGGGTATGGAATGTACTCTCCCTGAGACCTAAGGACACACCCTAGAGCCCTTCCCAACAAGTAGGATGGTTGACAGTAGAAAATGTATACTTTCCTGCCCTTCATTTTCTCTGTTCTCCCCTTTGCACACTGGAAGATGAGCTGATCCGGGAGGTCACCATCAACTGTGCGGAGAGGGGGCTGCTGCTGCTCCGAGTCCGGGATGAGATCCGCATGACCATTGCTGCCTACCAGACCTTGTATGAGAGCAGCGTGGCATTTGGCATGAGGAAGGCCCTGCAGGCTGAACAGGGGAAATCAGACATGGAGAGGAAAGTGAGTGGGGTTCATCATGATCTATTGGCCCTGAGACTCTTCTGTCCCATCTCCTGGCCTGATTGTCCTTGCAGCACTGAATTCTGGCCTTTAGGCTGCTCTGGACCTGCACCACTTCAGTGAGGCCTCTTGCTTTCAGTCTAGCCTGGTGATCTTGTCTGAGGCCACTTTGTGCTGATCACAGACCCCCCACTGGGTGGCAGTAGGTATCTGACAATGTCTGGAGTTGGACAACTGTGTCCCAAATCCTGTCCTCCCACCCCCAGGTCCTTACAACTTCCCAGTTGGCAACTTCTCAGGATGACTGGGCATTTTGTCCTTAGATTGCAGATTTAGAGACTGAGAAGAGAGATCTGGAGAGGCAAGTGAATGAGCAGAAAGCTAAATGCGAGGCCACTGAGAAACGGGAGAGTGAGAGAAGACAGGTGGAAGAGAAGAAACACAATGAGGAGATTCAGTTCCTAAAGCGGACAAATCAGCAGCTGAAGGTACATGGAGGAACAGGCCCCAGGTGGGAAGTACCCCACCCTGCTTCCCAGGCCAGACCATTGGATCCAGTTTCATATATGGTTTTCATTTTTACTTTTGGGCATACCGGGGTTTGAACTTGGCACCTTGTGTTTGTTAAACAAGTGTTCTACTTGAGCCACTTCATAGCTCACCCAAGGCTTTAAATGTTGGTCCACAGGCACTGCAGAGAGATAGGGAGACTGATTTGGGGCACAGGTGAGGGCTTATTACTCGAGTTCTCTGTCCCTCTAAACTGTGGAAGGGACTGTATTCTCAACTTATCCCCACTATGGCACCACACCCTGGCTCTCCAGTGGACAGTTTCTAGAAGAGAGAGAATATTGGGAAGTGGAACTGTAGCGTATGTGGTGTAGAGTACCAACCTTGGGTGAAAAAGCTAAGGGACAGTACTCAGGTTCAAGCCCCAGTACCAGCAAACACAAAAAATGTGGAGCTAACACTCTTTAAAGCTGATCTTTGGAGCTTTCTTTCATGGGCCAGATCTCTAGTATTTTGAGGAAAATGCTCTGTCATTGGCATCTACTGAAGCAGGACCCAAGGCAAAAGTAGGGAAGGCCAGACGGACGAGCAAGTGAGCAAGGAAGGATCTTGAGAGGAAGAAACACTTGGGATCCTTTTCCAGGTGTGTAGTCAGAGGAACAGAGCTGTAATTAGTTCTTCTGAGCTTCCTTGCTGGTGGCATGTTTTTATTCAACTGAGGCTTCTGCAGGGAGGACTGAACCACAGGTGTTCAGACCCCAAGCTTTTCAAAGGCTGAGCCCTGACCTGCATTCTCGTGCTCACAAATTTATGGCCCACTTATGATCAGCTGAAAAGTCAAGAGCCTGTGGTTCATGCCTGTAATACTAGCTACTCAGGAAGTTGAAAGGCCAGACCAGGTAGGAAGTCCATGAGAATCTTACCTCCAAGTAACCACCAAAAGCCAGAATTGAAGCTATGGTTCCAGTAGTAAAATGCTGGCGTTGAGTAAAAAAACTAAGGGATGGCACCCAGGCCTTGAGTACAAGCCCCAGTACCAGCACACACACAGAGAAAAAGACTGAATAAGGCTCATGTCTGTAATCCTAGCTACTCAGGATGTTGAGATCTGGGGATCATGGTTCAAAGCCAGCCTGGGCAGGAAAGTTCATGAGACTCTCTTCTCCAATTAACAAAACTGGAAGTGGTGCTGTGGCTCAAAGTGGCAGAGTGCTAGCCTTGAGACAAAAATCTCAGGAATAGCACCAAGGCCGTGAGCTCTAGCCCCAGGACCAACCAAAAAAACAAACCATGGGGTCGAGGTCCAATCATCCATTTCAAGGTGTGAAGAATCTATTCTGGGGCTTGGTGAGGTGTGAACATTACTCTTCTAAATACATGGCCTATTTATGTTGAGCAGTTTTCCCCCTATGGCACTGGCCTTGCAGAAAGCTTACGTTCTTGGCCAGGCACCGGTGGCTCACGCCTGTAATCCTAGCTACTCAGGAGGCTGAGATCTGAGGATCTCGGTTCAAAGTCAGCCCCGGCAGGAAAGACCCTGAGACTCCTATCTCCAATAAACCACTAGAAAACCGGAAGTGGAGCTGTAGCTCAAGTGGTAGAGCGCTCGCCTTGAGCTGAAGAGCACAGGGACAGTGCCCAGGCCCAGAGTTCAAGCCCCATGACTGACAAAAAAAAAGAAAGCTTAAGTTCTTGACATTGGCAGGCATAATGGCTCTCCAATCCCCAAAGTCTGACCAGTTGAAAAAGGCAGCTTTGTATTAACCACCAGCAGATGACAGAGACTTTCTTGTTGCAGAAGAGTTTAACAGAAACAAAAGTGACACATGTTCACAGCCAGATGTGACTGTTTACTCAACAGCCTCTGAAGCTGTTTTGCTATTTGCCACATGCCTTTATCTGCCACATTCTTCTGTCACAAATCCCAGTTCCTCAGTTCCCCCCTACAGTATCCACAACAAGAGCAAAGCTCAATACCTTAACATTCAAAGACAACCTTGTAATCCCCAGGGTGAAGGATTCTTTACAAGTGAGTTATTTTTATTGGCTCAAAGCTGCACTGCAAATAAAGCACTGTTTGCTGTTCCTTAGACAGACCTACTTAAAGATCTGTCCACATACCCTGATAGTAAATTACTGCTTTGGCTGCCAGAGAAGCAGAGTAACTCCCAAGTGTCTTATGTACAAGATGGACAGCTCCCTGCTCACTGGTAGTAATTTTCTCTAATTGGGTGTCAAGTTGTCTTAGTGGCTGATAATTTGCTGTTTCCCAAAACTCTGGTCCCAAAAGAGCTCTCAGGATCCTGAACTAGCCAGCCAACTGTTTAACTTAACAGACATATTCAGGCCTAAAATCTGAGCAATGCAAAAAAACCACTATTTCAACAACTTTTATTCAATTTCTTTTTCAGTGCTATTATACACTAAGCCATTAGCGTGGAAACTAGGTGCTCTTGTATCCCTAACCTAGCAAGACTATATGCCATACCAGAAGCCAGCTAATCTAGAAAATACAAAATTGGAAATTAAAGGACAAAGAACAATTGAGGATATCATTTGGAGTTTTCTTCCCAGACTTCTATCACCTTTTCAGCTATGTGTCACGCTGCAAGCTTCAAGTATTAACAGAATTTGCTTTTGTTTTTCAGGCCCAACTGGAAGGCATTATCGCACCAAAGAAGTGATAATTTCCATATGGGTCTCAGTGAAAGCTACTACCCCACCACAGCTCTTTGTAATTAAAAGCTAGTTTCCTTAGTGAACAAGCCCTCCCCTCCTGAGATCATCACCTATGCATTTGTCAGAAGTCATGCTATTGCCCCAGTGTTGTAAAATCCCTCAGGTCTGGCAGCCAGGCTCCTAGTTGGACAATGGAAAGTGGAGAACCCTGGTTCTAGTATTCAGCTCACAGCCACAATGGGGACTGTCAACTGAAATAGTAACTTAGGAGGCAACTGCTTTCCCATCAGCATTCCTTACCAGCCCCTTCTGGACAAAGAAACTGCTCCTGTCCCTCAAATGTTTGGTTCAGTTCACCTTGTACTCTAACTTGGGTTCTCTGGCCTGTCCCTCCACTTTCATTCCTACTCTAAGGCAAGTTTTAATCTCATTTCCAAGCTGTGGTTATACTGTGTCAGCTTATCTCTATCCGCTGAGTAAACAAGATTTCGCGTGCCTCAATTTTCTCGCCTAGATTAGAAAGCAGCAGAACTCATGGCTATATAAAAAGTAACTGCTGGCAATCAAAGTCCCAGTATTTTTTGAGCTCTGCACCTCAGCTCCCCCAACCACAAATGCACTTGTATCTTGTTCTGCAAACTATCAAACCCTGATCCACACCCCCAATTAGCTGTTTTAATATACCACATCTCACATGCAGTTCTAATTACTAATTGTCAGGCTATACCCTGAAGACATCTTTTATAGACTGAGAGTAAATGAACAACTTATATCTTTATTCAGGGCAGCAAGCTGGGTGACACCCACCATTCACCAAGTTTTATCTAAGTACTGCTGTCAGCACTAAGCCAAAGCATTCCATTCAGATGGGATGCCTCAGACAGGCACTCAATATCCTCTGAAGAGGGGCAGAAGGCTCACTCCTTGGTAGAGCTTTGATGTCATCTTTCCTGTTCAGGGCTCCAAGGCTCTTTGGAAGAACTGATCCTACAGAACAGCTGCTTTCTAAGTCAAGCATGCCCCCCCACTTAATTCAAATTGGAAGGCACCACTTTAACCATAACCAGGTATCCTAAGGAACTTTAAGTGTTCACTAAAGTGACCTGCCTGTGCTGCCAACTTCTTGGGAAAGAACTCTTCTTTGAGATCTGCTGGTTCTATGACTTCCACAATAATGCAATAACGTCCTAATGAGCCCACCTAACACGCTCAATGAACTGAAAAGTTACCAGAGCTTTCCCCTCATACTGTAAAGCCTAGTCCTGTGTGCATTTGTCCCAAACCTGTACTTGCAGCAAAAAGGCAATGGCATTCTACAGACCACCTGTTTCTGTAGACATAGTGGAAAGGCAGAGTCTCAAAGAACCCAAGACCATCTGAAGTCCCTGAAGTGCCATCGGACTGGATAGCAGACCTTAATGCTGAAGGCCTCTACCTTTGTTCTCAGTAGCACTGGTAATGGCTTCAAATTCTAAACCTCAGAACTAGCGCACTGTGGCCTTAGTAATAACAACAGAACATGAAGAAAATGAATACAATCTTTAATTGACTATTTTTGTATAAGTTAATAAAGAACTTTTTAGACGTTACTGCTTATGTCTGAATTTTTTGTGTTTGTGCTTTTGTCCCTCTGAGTCATTGCTCTTCTTCTTGTTCCTGTTTCTATTTTTCACATTGTGTGTTTCATAGTAGCGTACACCAACTCTTTTGGATCGTTGCTGTCGTTCTGCTCTCCTCCGCTGTAACAACAAAAAAAAAATGACAAGAAAAAAACTCCATCAAACACCGAGAGCTATACACCTTAAGGGTCCTGTTTCTCACTTCTGCTTTATTTCCTGTGCATTTCCACCACAGCTGTTAGAAGCAGAGCTATAAAGGATCTGGTGGATCCTTCTACCAGATAGACTAGTTCTGAGATGAAATGCCTAGATAAGTAAACATACCTCTAGATGTGTTTGTGCCACTTGCCCAGATGATACCCTTATAAGAGTTCTGCTAATCCATTGATGGGAGGGAAAATCTGATTATTGGGAGGTAGAGGAACTTGCTGCTTGGTTGAAGAAAGGCCACTGGGATGTGTCCTTGCTCTAGAGCCTTCCATCACTGTTCTCTGCTTCCTGTCCACTATGAGGTGAACAATTTTTCCCTAGCATATAATCCTGAAGCCATTATGTTCTGCTTAGTTCCTTAGCAACTAAGACTGAACCCACTGAAAATTGTGAGCCAAATTCATTTCTCTTAAGTCATCCTAGGTATTTTGATCACAACTAGACAAAGGGTTGCTGATACCCAATGGTTAAATCCTTTCTGAAGCATTCCTGACAAACTATTGCCCTCCCCAGAGGGGCTGCTATAGCTCCACACACATGCTACAAAGCTGCCCTTTATAGAGATCACTGATCTTGCCAACCTAGCCTGCTCTGTATTATCTTGCTGGGATGATGCAAGACAGCTCTTCCAGCCAATAAGCCTATGTTTGAAATCAGTGCTCAGGAATTCCTGAAATACAAGATGTGTACTTAAGGACTCTTGTCCAGTGAGCCACGCCCTGATCCAATTTTAAGTAACTTCAACCAGGTCATGGGATTCCTGGGATCCAGCTACAGGGCATATTTGTTTCAGAAAGAGTAGGTCTTGAGAACTAGACTTCTATTTCCTATAATGTCGCTCTTATTAATCAAAACACGTACTTCCTTTGATGTCACTGTCCTCTGAGTTTTATTTGAAGGTTCTTCTTCCCTCTGTGCCTTCCGCTTTCTTCCCTTTTTGGTGGGTGCTAGACACACAAAAAACAAAACAAAACAAAACATTCATAAGGGGGAAAAAAAGCAAACAAAGGTCTTTCAAAATTTGAGTCTTACAGGGAGAAAAAGGCTAATAATAGGCCAGCAGAAAGAGGAAGGCCAGGATGAATAGAGTGGGTAAGAAAAGCAAAGAGCAAGTAGGATGCTGGGAGGGAACCAGGTCAACACAGACCTTTTGGGTCATGGCAGTTCATTCTTGTGTTAGATAAATACACTCTTGCTATGGAAGCTGTAAGTAAAATTAAGGGAGTGAAAAATACATGCAACACACCCTGCTCCACTTTGATTAGACTCTCTTTAGTTTCTTAAGATTAATCCTGTTACTAATGTTAAGCTAGAGGCTAGTGGCTCACTTCTGTAATCCTAGCTGCTCAGGAGGCTGAGTCTATGGATTCTGGTTAGAAGCCAGTCTCAACAGGAGAGTATGAGACTCATCTCCAATTAAGCACCAGAAAGACTGAAAGTAAAGCTGTGGTTCAAGTGGTAGAACACTAGTCTTGAACTCAAAAGCTCAAGGGTAATGCCCAGGCCCCAAGTCCAAGCCTTAAGACCAGCACAAAAAAATAAATGATGAAGCCGGGTACCCAGTGGCTCATGCCTGTAATCCTAGCTACTCAGGAGGTTGTGATCTGAGGATTACAGTTCAAAAGCTAGCTAGGCAGGAAAGTCGGTGAAACACTCATCTCCAATTAACCACCAGAAAACAAAAAGTGGCGCTGTGGCTCAAGTGGTAGAGCGTTTGCCTTGAGCTGAACAGCTCAGGGATAGAGCCCAGACCCAGAGTTCAAGCCCCACAACCACTACCAACAACAAAAGATAATGATAATAAAAGCAAAGTTCCAGAACTGCCAATTTAATACCAACAGATATGCGGGTTGAAAAATAATCTAATTTATATGATGAGGAACCAGGGAAATCAGCCAGATAGAATATTATATGGAGGACAGTAGAGTTAATTTGGAAATTTAAACTCAGGCTTCCAAAAATCCTAAACATGCAAATTATTCTAAATAAATAAATAATCTTCACCTGTATCATCCACATCTTCTTCAAATGTTCTTTGTTGTTCAGGTGTTTTCTTTTGTTCTTCATATTTTGCAAAAATCTTTTCACTTAACCCTTTGGGAATTCTGGAAGAGAAAGGCAAAGTAACCATGCTGCCTACCATTCCTCTCAACTGCCCAAATCAGGCAATTGAGAGATAGATACACATTCCCTTAAAAAACTCTTCTTAGCTCACACCTATAATTCTAGCTACTCTGGAGGCTGAGATCTGAGAATCACAGTTCAAAGCCAGCCAGGGCAGGAAAAGTCCCTGAGACTATCAACAATTAACTACCAAAAAACCCAGAAGTGAGGGGCTGGGAAGATAGCTCAGTGGTACAGTGCTTGCCTCACATGCAGGAGGCCCTGGGTTCAATTCCTGAGTACCACATAAGAAGAAAATGCCGGAAGTGGCGCTGTGGCTCAAATGGTAGAGCGCTAGCCTTGAGCTGAAGAGCTAAGGGACAGCGCCCAGGCCCAGAGTTCAGGCCCCACGACCGGACCCCCCCCCCCCAAAAACAAAAAAAAAAAAACAAAAAAACCAAAAATATTAGAGATCCTATATGAAATAATAAAGTAAAACAAAGGACTAGAAGTATGGTTCAGCCTAGCAAGCTTGATGCTCTGATTCAAACCCTAGTACTAAAAAACAATAACAACAAAAACACTCATTTTACGAGCAAGTTTTGGGCAAAGAAATGAAAAAATTGCAATTCATTAGATGGAAAGCTATTACCTGACTGCTGAAAACTTTTTAGCTTTGGCTTTATTTAAAAACTTCTGGTATTTAGCAATCTTTTCGTCCAGCGCTCTAATCACTGCTTTGGTGTCATTTCCCACTGGCTCTCCTGGGGACTCCTGAAGAGCTCCTTCCTCCACCTCCTCCTCCTCATCTACTGCTGGCTCCTGCTCCTCCTCATCAGAAGAAAAGCTCTCCAGCTCTTCTTCTATGTCTGATATCTCCACAGGAGCCAGGTCATCCCCAGAAAACTGAGGCACGACGTTGATTTTGCCAAAGTTCTGGCGAACCCGGGCCAAAATCTGCTGCATCTCTGAGTTGGCATCACAAGGACTGTCCTCTTCTTTTTCTTTCTCAATGACAGGTTCTTTGCTTTCTGCAGGTTCCTCTTCTGGAATGTTCTGGGAAGCATCTGTGACAACTTCTAAGGATGAGGAGGGCGGAGGCTATTGAGGCCCAAAGGAGGGTTTGAGCAGGAAGAGAAATGGAATCAGAAAACGAAAATTTAGTCTGGTACTTAACAAGGGGTTACTTCTGAATAATGTCATAATACTCATATCCTTTGGGAAATTCCAAGGATTTTAGGAGCTTTGTATGGGGACAAAGACTGTACATGTTTGATACACCAACAGCCAAGTACGTGATGTCAGAAGTCCTGCACCTGAAGAAACTAACCCCATGAGAGGTGGTACGGTGTGAGTGGGGAATCCGAGGAGTCCTGTGAGT